TGAAGAAGATAAATTATCAAATGTGGGTAAGAGCACGAATCATCTCGTGCAAATGCATATCTAACAGCCAACAATAAAAGTACTAACATCATCGATATATTTTTAAGAGCCTTTTTAAATGTTTTCAATTTGTGTTGTTTAAGAAAAATTTATAAAAAAATATTGGTCATGACCATTGGAGGTCAGACCATTTAAACCCAACCATTTTTATTTTATTTTAATGTGGTCACCTTTTTAAATGTTTTCAATTCATAAAAAAATTATAAAAAATTACTGGTCATGACTGTTGGTGGTCAGACCATTGAAACCCATCTTCTTTTTTTTTCTTTTTAAAAAAAAAAAAAAAAAAAAAAAAAAATGTGAACCTGGTTTACCTATTTTATTTTTTTTCAAGAGTTGTTTAAAAAAATATATATAAAAATTATTGGTCATGGAATATTGTCTCTCAATAGTAGTTTAATTAAATTAAACAATACATAGTTGTAGAATGTATGAGTGTTGTACTATAGTTTTTCTCAAAATAATAAAATATGAAGGACCCTAAAATATAGCTCTGTATGGTTGGAGATGGAAAAAATTTAGCCATGCACTACTCTTTAAAAAATTGATATTTTGGAAAACTAAATATTTAGTGTTAAACTACATTTAGCACTATGACTGGAAATGACCTTACCTACCAATTTGCCACCGTTGACTTTGTTGCATCTTTTTTCACATTCTTCAAGTTTATTTATTTGTAAATTGATAACATATTCAAGGGGGGAGCCCAATCAAACTTTTGGATTTGTACATCAAGTTTGCTAGTTATATCTGCCCTGTTGAAAGGCCCACTTGATTTCATTGATGTTCATGTTGAACAACAAAATCTTGGAGAGTTGGGTCACATGAAAACTTCTTACTGAGGAGGGCCCAATGCTGCATGGGGGATCAATAAGGCCCTTTGTAAGATGAATGAGATACAAGATTGACAAAAAGTCTACACAAAAACAAAACCGAGGTCTCTTAATTTGATGATGGTAAGCCGTTGATGCGTTGTAGGACACACACACTATTCTCAATCATATTACTTTTTTTTTTAGTACAAACGATAATCAAAATTACTTGGGAGGGAAGATTTCACACACACACACACACTACTATATTGTCATAGAATTTGAACCTGAAACTATTAATTTGCAAATTAAAATATTTTTCAACTAGACTAGACCATGTATACATTCACAACTATATTCTTTGTTTACATAGGCTATAAGCCATTAATTGTTAGGCCAGGCTCTATCCCAAAATCGCAGAGACACTAGATATTGGTCCATCTTGGCCCATATATTTAATAATCGAATTAATATGAAGGCCCGTATCTTTTAATTTTGGAGCTGCAAGCCACTAATAGTTTATGCAAGTTGCAACCATCAACTCACTCATTCTCCACCACACCTTTTCCCGTGGCTCTACCTACAATCACCATTCATATCATCAGGCAATTGTTGCAATATTATTCTTCAATATTATATTCTTGCAATGCATATTTGGGGACGGGGCAAACTGGCAAACACATGCAAAAAGGGTCTTCTTATACTGTTCATGAAGAGATTGGTAGATTACCTCTCGATCAAAAGTTTAAGCTGTCAATAAGGCTGTCCGAAGGAAGGAAAGAACAAAGACTATAAAATCGGAATTGGGACGATATTATGTTAGATTATCACTAACTCTAAAAGTTTAAGCTATCAGAAAATGAGCTAACAATGTATATCAAACGAATAAAGATAAAGTCGTTTAAACATCATGCCCCACTAAATTAATTAATGAAATACGCATCACCCACACAAGAAATCCAGCCACTTTCTTCGTTTAAGAGTTTTAGCTTGGAAATGAATGGTCAGGAGGTCGAAGAAGGTAGAAACTCATTATCAATTTAGAACTATAACTATATATACAAGTGTACCCTAACATCTTCTCATAAACACTTCAGACAAAGGTACTTGCTAAAGAAGCAGAACTAAGAGTCTGTGTGACAGATATGCCAGCTTGGGTGGTGAAGTCGAGGGTTGAATTTTTAGGGAGGGAATGGAACTTTGTGGATATAGGCACAATCGTTTTCCTTTCCACTTTGCATGTCCTCGTTCTTTTGGCGCCATTTCATTTCAACTGGAGGGCATTTTGGTTGGCCGTGGCACTCTATTATCTCACAGGCCTAGGTGTCACTCTATCTTACCATAGGCAACTTTCCCACCGGAGTTTTAAGCTTCCCAAATGGCTTGAATATTTCTTTGCCTATTGCGGTGTATTGTCAGTTCAGGTCTGTGAATCAAATTCATCATCAATTGTGTGACAAGTTTTAATTGTAACACTTCATTTTTTTTTATAAATTTTTATACACGGTTTTGGTTTGCAGGGAAGTCCAATTGAATGGGCGAGCACACACAGGAATCACCACCAGTTTACTGACACGTGGGACGACCCTCATAGCCCCATCAAAGGATTGTGGTTTAGTCACATTGGTTGGCTCTTTGATTATCGTTCTCGATTTGGAAGTGTATAGAAACATGACACATTCTTTCTCTGTTTCTCAACACGCACTACGTAGCATTTTTTTTAACACCTAAGTTGATTTTTGCAGTATGAAGGACGGCTAAAGAATGTTGATGATTTAAAAAGGCAGAAGTTCTATAGATTTCTTCATGTCACGTACCCGCTTCACTCAATAGCTTTTGGAGTTTTACTATATGCCCTAGGAGGAATGCCCTTTTTAGCTTGGGGATTGGTAAGATTGCTCCTAATGTTGTCTTTCTTTGTTAGTGAAGTGCTAGCTTTGTTGAGCAAAAGAATAAAATTCTAGCTTAGCCTTGAACCGACGTTTGGTTTTCTTTGTTTGCAGGGTGTGAGGGCGGCATTATTTGCCCATGCTACTTTTGCACTAAATTCAATTTGCCATAGATGGGGCAAGAAAGTATGGGATACTGGTGATATGTCTAGAAACAACTGGTAATATTGTATTTTTTATGCACTCAAAAACTGTAGATATGTGTGTATTTATGTGTGTGTATATATATATATATACACATATATTATTTGTGTATTCAAATAATATTTTGTAATTGCATGTTTAGGGTATTTGGATTGCTCACACATGGAGAAGGTTGGCACAATAACCACCATGCTTTTCAATACTCAGCTCGGCATGGCTTCGAGTGGTGGGAAGTTGATGTTACTTGGTATGTAATAAGATTTCTTGAAATTGTTGGTTTGGCAACAGATGTGAAACGCCCAAGCGAGACTCAGAAACGAAAAGCTTTATCCAACAAACTCAACGAGGAAAAGCTTGAAACACAAGTGAACAACACAAAGCTTGGAACCGAAGCCAAAAAATGAATGACGGAAGCTCAAACTTATGCTCCAAACATTTTACTATTCTTTTAAAGAAAGATTCAATTCTTATGTGCTTTCATCTAATCATAATTAACAAATATTATACATTATGGCCGACGTATGTCAGGCTATAATAAAATGCAAAGGCAATGTGCAAAATGTAATAATGTATCCAATTCAATATATGATGTCAGCGTGTGAATAAAAATAAGGAAAATTTGTATAAATGTTACCTGAATTTTTAGTTATGTGTGTGATTATCACTTGAACTTCCAATTTTTACTGTTAATCACCTAAACTTTGCAAAGTATAGCAATTTTCCTTCTATTATAACTCCATTAAAATTGCAGTTAAATAAAGTCACATATTGAATGTGTGATATTTTTTAAAGGACATTTTCATCAATTTATTAGAATTAAAAAGAAACCAGAATTCAACCTAATTAATTATCCCCAACCTCCCCCCACCCCTTCCCCTTCTCTCTCTCTCTCTCTCTCTCTCTCGCTCTCTCTCTCTCCTCTCTCTCTCTCTCTCTCTCTCTCCAACTGCAGAAACAAGAGGCCAAACTCTGCAAATCAATAACAATTCAGCAATATTTAATTGATTTCTTTATAAACGGAAATTTTAACAGAGTTACGCGTATGTGGTGAATTGCTACACTTTATAAAATTTAGGTGGTTAATAATGAAAATTAAAAGTTCAAGTGATAATCTCGCACAAGCTTAAAAGTTCAGGTGGCATTTATGCAAATTTTCCTAAAAATAAGGGAATTGAAATTCCTTTGAACATTCCATAAAAATGAAGAGAGTTTCAATGGAATCGACTATAACATACAAGTTATAGACATATTAAAATAGTTACACCAATAAATAAATTTTTATTATTTTTTTAAACTGACAATTTTAGGAACATTACGACTATCTCAATTCCATTTCTACAATGTACATGTCAACCCGGACACATCATCATCTTCCTAACAAGATCCCTTAGTTGGACGGCCAGTAGGTCAACCAATCAATCTATATTATGTATCCTTCATATCCATATTCACGTGACCTCAACCCTCCAACAATCACTACACGTCAGTTTATTGTTTCTTCTTACTCTCGTGATTCTTCTTACTTTTCTCAAACACCCCCACCCCACCCTAAACAAAACATGATTAAACTATATTATCATCTAAACTTTGTGTTTTTGGGTTGACATTTACCATTAATAGTTATGAGCTTGTCGGTTTACAGGAAAGGAAAATTTAAATTTAAATCCCATGTCAAAAGTCAAAGCAATTATGCAAAAAGATATAAGAGCACGAGTGAGTCGGAGAGTTGGGTCCAAAGCAGACCAGATCAAGGAAGGAGGGCCCAACATATAACATTTTGCATGTGTTTATCATAATATTTTAATCAGATGGTGATTGGTCACCGAGTTTGAATCAAAACCATTTAGTTTGGTTGTTCAATTGCAGGTCGGCTCAACGTGACAACCGCACCCAACCGAACTATTCATTTCAATGCTCGACTAATATTTCTCACTCTTTTTTCCTTTACTATATATGTAGCCTCCCTCTCTCTCTCTCTCTCTCTCTCTCTCTCTCTCACACACATACACACAACTTGAATAAGATAAATAAAACAATGGCTATGAAAGCAATGAACATCCTGCAATTTCTCTTGCTTATCCTCCAACTAAGTCTTCAAGCCACACATGGCATTGGCAGATATGGTGGTGAATGGCAAACTGCCCATGCAACATTTTATGGTGGCAGTGATGCTTCTGGCACAATGGGTAAGCTAGAAATTAAAATTATTGATACTGGTTTAATTAGTTTCACGATCTGAAACGAGCACTACTACACTCACTAAATTTGTTCGTGATATGATCATGACAGTTTTTCATTTATTCAAATTTTGAATTATTATAATTTATAAATTGTTGAGTATAATATTTTGTAGGAGGGGCATGTGGTTACGGAAACTTGTACAGCCAAGGGTACGGAACTAGTACAGCAGCTCTAAGCACTGCTCTGTTCAACAATGGTTTGAGCTGCGGGGCATGTTATCAATTAAGATGCAACCATGAGAGTGACCCCAATTGGTGCCTCCCTGGTGGCATCACTATCACAGCCACCAACTTCTGTCCTCCTAATAACGCTTTGTCCAATGACAATGGTGGGTGGTGCAATCCTCCTCTTCAACACTTCGATTTGGCTGAGCCTGCTTTCCTGCACATTGCAGCCTATCGTGCCGGAATTGTGCCCGTACTCTTCAAAAGGTAACATATCTTAGTTCCAAAAATCATGGATGGTACACATGTTATGTTGTTAAATTGTGAATCTTGAGATACAACTATACTAAATTTTGTCTCATTAGATTAACGATTAGATTAATAGTATGACAACATAACATACTAGATTGTCTGAGAAATGAAAATCCGCGGTGTAAACTTAATTAGATGTAATTGGTTAAGGAGATATTTGTGTTGCTTACCTAGTTGTAATTTTCTTGTTTTAGGGTTCCATGTGTGAAGAAAGGAGGCATAAGGTTCACCATGAATGGTCACTCATACTTCAACTTGGTGTTGATAACAAATGTTGGGGGTGCAGGGGATGTGAGAGCAGTATCGATCAAGGGGTCTAAAACAGGGTGGCTGCCAATGTCAAGAAACTGGGGCCAAAATTGGCAGAGCAACTCCTACCTCAATGGCCAGAGCCTCTCCTTTAAAGTCACCGCTAGCGACGGACTCACACTCATCAGCTCCAATGTCATGCCTGCTGGTTGGAAATTTGGACAGACCTTTGAAGGTGGTCAATTTTAGATGATCTGTGGACAAGAATGACTTATACATAGACTTGTGTTCATAAATTATGCATAAATCTGCTTTGCAGTTTGCATCTTTGATTTTGTAAAATAAAATTATAATGTAAGTAAAATCAATGAAGTTAATTATGATCCGTGGAAATGCAGGAAACAAGTGCTCTACAGCATGGTTTCTTTCATCAAATTAACTCAACATGTCAAACTTTACTTACAAACATATTTCAAGAGGCAGTATCTACTCACACTCTAAAACAACCCAAAGACACATCCTCTTCTCATTCGGTCCATCACACAACCGAAGGTTACATTGCAGGATGAACATCAAAAGACACTGCCTCTTCCCTAACAAAAACCACCACTGCACATCAATCATGCAAATGTATAGACTCAATAATTTAGCAACGAGTATTTCACTCTCAAAACAATTTTTCCTTTCACCACACCAAGCTTTCCACCCGTAACCAACCAATGACCTGGATCATCTTGCGGCCCCTTGCTCATCTCAGACATGTCCACAAACTTCACCAACTTGTTTCCTGCAACATTTTCTCTTGAACCTGAACTTGAGTCACTGGTGGACATCGGTTTCTTTGACTTTTCTTTTGGGGTATGATCCCACAAGGATCTTCGTATAGTGCAGCCTGGTAGCCTAGAATATAAAAGCTTCATGTACAAGACATTTCTTGATCCAAAATCCCACACTCCAAGCTGTGCTCCAGTGACTATGTAGACACCAGAGAGGTCACCTATGAAGGTCTCGGGGTTCTCAATAGGCGCAGTGCTCACATGAGAGAAGTTTTTCCATTTCACTGGCTCGAACCATCGGCTATCTTGCTCCTCGGGTCCTTGCCACTTAGGAGCACCAATTGCGACATGGGTGTCCCAATATGGTAGAAGGATCTTTGGAAGAGATGCCAAGTGTTGAAGATGGATACAAAGTCGATTCTGCTTGCTTCCTTCTAGACATAACTGTACGCCTGTCACTGGCTTCCGTCCAACGGTTACCTGCGTGTTGCAAAATTTTGTTGAAAAGGATTAGATTTGGACAGACTATCACTATGTCATTAAATCACGAATCAAACTCAGAACGAGAGATCACGAAATTAACAAATGGTCATCTAGTGAGGTATCATTCATCAGTTTCTTAAGGGCTATTTAGACATCTCAAGGACATGACTATTGTGTTTTACATTTGAGGAATTAAATTATAAGCATTTATGTTTTTATCATGTCAATTAAGTTGCTAAAAAAAATCCTTGCCTGTTCTTAGTGAAGAGAGATTGATTGCTAGAAAAAGTCCTTACCTGTTCTTGGCTGACATAAAGTTTTTGCCCCATTATGCTGAATTGCAAGGATGGACAAACAGGTTCTTTTCTTTGGGGGGCCAGATTCCTGTCATATACAGGAGCCCATATTCGAGAAATTTGAAACTCTAGGAAATATCTCAGCTCTTCTATTGGAGGCTTATCTGCAAGAAGAATTTCAAAACAGTTAGCAGAATTACCTTATGGCCAATAATAGAGCACATTACAGGAAGAAAAAAAAAACTGTAATCCATCTATGAGGATTCGAATGTCTTACATTCAAGATAAAGACCAATCGCTCGAGTAAGGTGTTCCTTTCCAGTTACCCCTTCTAGGAGAGCTGTTATAGGGAAAAATGTCATCTCAATTACATCTGGAGAGGACCGGACAGTTCTTGCCCATCGGGTGTGGTTTTGCTCCAGATCGTCCCCTCCCCTTCTTCTGAAAATGACTGTGACATCCTGATCCAAGGTAATGAAAAATCACATATAGTAAGTATCACAACTTGGGAAAATGAAATTAAACGTTCAAAGAAGAAAAAATAAATGAATAAACAAAAATCATTAAGTGCAATACGTATACAAATGATAAATACTTGTAACGTACTTCTTTCCCAGCAAGATATGGTGCAGTAGTGGGCTGAGGGTATACCCCTGGACTGTTATATAAACCAGGATCAACACCCTGAAACATATATAAAAAATGATAATTAGAAATTAGATTTCAAGTTAAAAAAAGAAGGAAGCTACATTAAATAATGACAAGGAAAAGAAACAAAGCAGAACTAGCCTTATCATTGAATTTCATTTGACCTGAACTTCTATTGCTTTCTGTGTCTGAGAACCTGTGAGTTCCAATATCCTGGACATAGTTTTTGATCTCCATTGTAGACAAAGGAGATGACTGGTGTTGTTTGACATAAATTACATCTTTTCCACCAATTGTTACAGATGTGATGACATGGGTCCCAAAATTTTCAATAAAGCTGTCAAGAAAGAGTAGCCAACAATTAGGGAGCATTTAAAAGTATTTTTTCGCTATTTTTTCACTAAAGATCTACCTATTCATACCTTGCCAAAGATGTTGGATCCCAATTGGTCGGGACAGCCTGTTTCACATTTTCTTGCAACACTAGTGGGGTTTTGAAAAGCTGGACCTTAGCAAGTGGAATATAAAATCCATCCACAGAAAGGGTCTTCGTGGCTGCAGCATCAATGTGCTTTGAACCAGTGAAGCTAAATGCAAAGTTGAAACTCCCAAGAGGAAAGCCTCCAGATGCATTAGATTTTTGATTAAAATACTCAACCATCTGCAATCATTCGCCATGGGGAATATGTTAAATAACTTCATGCATTGAAAGTATTATGCTGTTCGTTCTCTACATTATGCTTTAAGCTAATCAGTTCTTTTAAGAGGGGTTCTCCCTCTCTCTTTATACACACACAGATTTATAGGCAGTCACAGCCTCTTGAAAAATGCAATGGACCACAAATGGTCTTGATCATAATCACGAATGCCTCAATACCACTCAAACAATCAAAGATGCTAATCTTGTGCAAGCTTTATTTTCCTAATTAAACTTAGAATTTGATCCTGAGTTTGGCTGGTAAACTAGCTCAAACAAGTACCTAACAAGCGGTGCTTGAACATTTTCTAGTTCAATACATTTTCAAAAGGAAGTAAACAATGTTTTATCTATTATGGACGCAAGGTTATAAAAACATGTCCATCACATATGAAACAAGGAAGAACACAAAACACAGAGGCGAAGGCATTTGGAGCTGAATAATTTCCACTCCTTCAAATTAAATGGGTCCGACCGAGAATTTTTTTTAAAATAACCTATGAAGTTTCAATAAGTTTGCTGCAACTCTTCATTGCTGATTATTCAATTTCATGACATATTCCTCAATGAACATCAATCTCATTAGTTCAACACTTATCCACTTTCACCACAATCTCAGCATAGTAAGCTGTTTGCAATCTAAACTTAATTCACAAACTCCTAACCCCAAACCTTAATGCACCTACAACATGTAGACTTCCACTAAACCCTCAAAGAAAATACAATAACAAAAGTACACAACTGAACAACCATTAAACATAAGGCTAACATAAGCTAATAGGCATACCTCATGGAAGCTGCAGACTCCAGAACTCTGACGCCCCATGGATTCCTGAGAGTGCTTGATGTCCTTAGAAACATTCGGCACAATTATATCATCATAAAGGCAGAGATCCTTGGTGTGCTCCTCATCAAGCTCTAGTATCCTAGACCCGGCCACTCCCTTACAGTAGAGCAACCTTGTATCGAAGTTCACGTCGAAGCCTCTTCCTAATGCCTGTACGGAGTTCACAGCTGTATGCAAAGCTGCTGCATTTTCTCCCATTTCTCATCAGAATACTGTGGAACACCTCACTTTTCTCTGATCAGAAGCAGAGACAGCTAGGAAAACTGACCCAAATCCAAAACCCAGTTCCCTATTTCGGTTGTTGAGCTCAATTAGAAGAACCAAGCTGGAAACTTTCCCGGAAACCCACAAGGAATTGGATAATCATAACGTTTTGAGTATTGGATTTTTGAAGATTTCTCTGTTCAACCATTTTCTCAAGGAAGCTCAAGACTGGTTCTTCAGCAGACTCTTCTCTCTCTCTCTCTCTCTGTTCTTCTAAGTTGACTACGAAAAATCTTTAAATTGATATATTCACGAAGCTGAAGCTCTATCTCCTCCTCTAGATCTCAAATCCGTGGAAAAATTATCCAATTTTTCATTCTCTTTCTGTGTGTCTCTCCACAATTCTCTCTGTAAATTTCGCTCTCTACCGTGTACTTTCTACCAGCTTGCGAGTTAAGAACAAGAGGGCATTGACTTCAAGTATTTGTTTTCTCACATAAATGTGTGAGTGCATTTTCCTCGACCTTAACGTTTGCTTTGACACGTGCATCTCTGATTTGATCAGACGGTTCTGAGAAAGTCGGCAAAACAGTCGTGTTAGACTTTGATTTGGTCAGGTGGGACAGAGACCTATGGGATTGGAGCTCAACTATTGGTTTCAACTTTTTTATTTTCCCCTTTCCTCGGCGTCCTCCTCACGAAATTCTCTCCACGACTCAAAAATGTCGGATACAATTCAAACTAAAAAGTTGCCGTTGCCAACTAAACTGATACTCAGAATCTGGGTTATCTGAATTAGGCCAAAAACTAGTAATTTTGGGTAAATAAAAACAAAAAAGTATGGCCTTGCATTGTGTGCACATCTAAAAAAGGCTAAGCCATTTGACACTTGCTAGCCTTCCCCTAACCCAAAAAGAGAAAGGTCTACTTTGGGTTCTAGTATTTTCCTTGGAAAAAGCTGCATTTGTTTCTTCCATATAAAGGAAATGCTTTCAATCAAATAGATAAGTTCAGCTAAGTTCAAGACCTATCCAAATAGCTGACTTTACTGCCTACCTCAAGTGGTATGCATGTACAGAATTTAGAGATCTGGGATTTGAGATGACTCTTTGTATTCAACAAATCTTACCCATAAAAAGCAAACAAAAGAGCCATGCACTGTGCAATGGGGAAACCTCAAATTACCCTTTTACAAGGGGAACCTCTGTCTATGGCTAGAAAAGTAAATTAGATAGTGACATCTATGACACCCTTCAGACCAGTAAGAGTTGATTTTTTTTTTTATGGAGTAAGAGTTGATCAAGCATCATTATTCTCATCAGTCCTTTCAAGACCCCAAGGTCACACGCCAACACGCACACACAGACAAAATGCAGGCAGAGCACCATTGCCTGCTAGGGCAGGCACATGAAGACATGAAGACCTGACACTTGCTATGACAAGGTCAACTTTTCAAGGGAAATAATCAGGTGGTCCTTGGACCACTATTGAGTAGCGACTTCAAGCTTGCCATCTATCAGTGTCTCAAGGAAAACTGAAGTTCTAGCCCCAATGTGCACGCATCAATGAGGATGATAGTTGAGTAATATATTACTAACGGCATTTTTTATTGGTAAAATTACAACATCTGTTACAATTTTGTTTTGTTTTGCTGACAAATCATCCATAAATGACATACATACCAAGTCAATGGCTTCCATTATTTCATCTCAACATGGCTGAAGCCGAGTGTTTTTGAGACTTCCTTACAAATCATCTCATTCCTCAATCGCTCAACATCATCCCATCTCTCTGCTTCAGCATACATGTTTGACAACAAAACATAATCTGCATCCATTAGAGGCTCCAATTTGGCAAGCTGCTGGAAGCTTTGCTCTGCCAATTCTACGTTTACATGTACCCTACAAGCACCCAACAAGGTTCTCCACAACAAAGAGCTTGGCCCGGAGGGCACAGCTTTGATAATCTCGAACGCTTCTTCTAACAATCCCCATCTGCTGAGAAGATCAACCATGCAACCATAATGCTTCTCATCAGGCACAATCTTGTATTCTTGAACCATCTGATTGAAATACCGGCATCCTTCTTCCACCAAACCCTTACGGCTACAAGCAATTAAAACACCAATAAACGTTATCCGGTTTGGTGTAACTTCACCAAGCTGCCTTTCCATAGCCGCAAACAATTCCAAAGCCTCATTGCAGTAACCATGGACGCCCAAACCCACAATCATGGCATTCCAGCAGCCAACAGGTTTCATTTTCAGCTCACCAAACACTTCCCAAGCTGAACTCAATTTCCCACATTTACAATACATATCTACAAGGACACCACCTAAATACCCTCCAATCTTATGGTGCTGTAGGTTCAAGGACTCGTGAATCTTCCTCCCAATCTCCAATGCACCAGTTTCAGCACAAGCACCCAAGATAGATATAAGCGTAACTTCAGTAGCTTCCACCTCAGCAATTTGCATTTCACGGAAGAGCTTCAATGCTCCATCATAATCTCGAACCCGAACATAGCCAGCAATCATCGAATTCCAAGAAACCGAATTCCTCACAGGCATCTCTCGGAAGACTATTTGTGCAGCCTCAATGTTGCTCAACCTAACATGCCTTGCTAATAAAGTATTCCAGGAAACTACATTCTTCTCAGGCATGGACTGAAACAGATAATCCGCGGTTTCGAAATCGGCAACCTGATCATAAGCTGTTAACATGATGTTCCAAGAAGAAGCACTTCTGTCAGTCATTTCGTCGAAAACACAGCGGGCAAGTTCCACAGACCCACAATGAGAATACACAAAAATCAACGAATTCTGAACATACAAATCACAATCAAAGCCCAACTTCAAAACCCGGCAATGAATTTCACTTCCCTTACGATCAATAACAAAGCCACAAGCTTTCACCTCATCTTCTTCCATACGTTTCATCACTCTAGCACAAGCCCTGAGCGCAAAATTGTATGTGAAATTATCAGACCTAACATTCGTTTCCTGCATATGGTTGTAAATATGTATAGCTTTGATGGGGAAGACGCTGTTGGCGTAAGCCCTGATCATGCTGTTGCAGATGAAAGGGTCGTCCATGGTGGTCTCTTCGAACAGGGCTTGAGCGTGCACGAGGCAGCCTAGCGGTGACAGTGATGCGAAAGCAACGAGCTTTGCGACGATGGATGTGTGAGTAAAGAAGAGACCTGTTTTCGTGAGGAAACCTTGGACTGCTTCGACTTGTTTCATGGAAGAGAGTTGCTGAAGCTGAAGAAGCTTGGAAAGTATGTGGGAAACGGCGAGAGTCGATCTCAACATCTTCCATTCCGAAAGCTCTGAACTTGATGGCTCATTTGGATCATCAATATATATTGGATTGAAATTAGGTACTCAAAACGACGACGTATGGTTTTAAGTTCTGTTATGACCATTTTACCCATTATTGAAAATCTTGATCAGAATTCAGATGCAAAGCAAAGACAAAATACTTTGGCTGGATTCAGATACTTCATCACCTAGAAATCCAAATACTGAAAATGATTTTGCTAAAAAAGGGAAGGTTCCATTGATAAGAACAGAAAATTGTCCAAAACCATGCATCTCTCCTTTACAATGGGTCACCTACACAATGAGAACCATCCTCAATTTATCTATTTATTTTCCTGATGAGTTACCCCATCAGCACCATTTTTTTTTCCAGCATTTTCTCATCCTTTGCATTCACCATCATATTTTAAGGTAATCAATCATAAATTCGCTAAAAATTGTATCTACTATCGCAAGACTGTTCCGCCAGTTGGAACAAATTGATGGTTTCCAAAAAAATTTGACTGCTTATTGTGAGTTCTTGGTCCTCTTAGCATTGAACAGTTGCCTAAGGAAAGCAAACTTCCCTCTTGTCCGAACAGATAATTCACTCATGGTACCATTACTTGCTGCTGCCTCGTTGGTGTCGGTATCTGGTATAGGCGGTGAGGGTGGTGAGAGTTTGAAGAGGAATGAGTTGAGCATGCGGATGATCTGGCTGAAGGTAGGCCTTAAATTAGGGTCTTCAACCCAACATGACTGGATGACAAAGGCAAGATCAGGGGATATATCCTCCGGAAGTCGAGGCCTCTCTTGCTGCATTCTCGAATAACAATATAAGAGTAAGCAACATAAATAGAGGTATTGTTTCTTATATCAGACTGCACATAATAGCCAAATGTATTAACAGCAATAACAGATTTAGTTGTTGCACCTTGAAAGCAGCAGCATAAGCAGCCTGCAAATTGGACATGCCTTCAAAGGGCATGCGGTTGGTCAATAATTCCCATAAGACAATCCCAAAGCTATATACATCAACCTTGTTATTGTAATGCTTCTTCTCTCCCTGACGTAAGGTCACAGTGCTATACAGCTGCAAATGCTAATAGTTGGTCAAAGGGAACTAACAATTGTGCAGGAATAGTAGAATACGTTAGAAGCAGATCAAATAAACTTTCAAGCACATTCAGAAACAAAACCCAACCAAAGTAACCCAAATTAGTGCATAAGGCTTCAAGATTGGCACCCAATTAGTGTTTTAACATTACTTAGGGTTTATAGTAACCAGTTCAACTCCCTCATACATCATTTCCAATTCTGTCTATCATGGATACAGAATTCATTCAAAAGCCAGAAAGAGAGTAATAGCTTGTCGTTCTGCAGTCAACTCAAACAACCATGAAACTTTTCCAAAATAAAAAGATGTACTACTTCCAATTTCAAGAACATCAAAAGACCCCAGATACCTGAAAGACTGAAAATAATTAAACATGTTGACAAACCTCTGGAGCCATCCAACGGTAAGTCCCAGTTTCTGCTGTCATCATCTCTGTCACGCTTTCTTCTCTTGCAAGACCAAAATCCGCAAGCTTTACATGTTTCTGATTTTCCGTAAGCAATAAATTGTCTGCAATAGACATCATATGTATTGTTAAAGAGCGAAACCTAATAATTTTCAGAGTAAAGATTAAATGAAAAAAAAACACCACCACAGGCCCCAACTGAAAAATAAGTGGACAAACACCTAAGACAAAAGGTATAGCCTTGTTTTGCAAGTGAAGCTGCCTTCTTTTACCATTTTTTATTTCAAAATGTTGGTCCTAGGATAGTAAAAACTGATCACATGAAAGCAATCTTGTGAACTAAGTGCAGAGTCCAACAGAAAGAATAATTCCACTTGGAGAGAACTTTAAGTCATGTCTGCAGCCTACTGGATAAGCACAGCTTAGCAAGAGCAGAATACAACATACAAATAACAGCAAACAAAGGAAACTTCTGGCTCAAGCACTGCTGCAATTTACACTAATTATTTAACAGAACTTTGAACAGAGATACACAATTAGAGCACATTATTCCCTTTTTAAGTATTGGAGTTTTCATCAAATGTTAATTTAGAAAAAAATGTCAATAAATTCATTAAGCATTAACAAGCCCTCTTCTATTGTCATTATCCAGCAGTACCAAATAAAGTAGTCAAGTACAGCTCAATATGTTACCAGGTTTCAGATCTCTATGGATAATCCCATTGGCATGTAAACATTCCATTGCATGAGCGATATCAAGAGCAAATTTAATTGCCACAAGGAGTTCTAATGGATTTGGACGAATACTCATCAGGTACTTCCGGAGTGACATTCCGGGTAATAGCTCAGTAACTATCACCATTAGAGGATCCTTGCAAGCTCCAATAAACTGTAGAGACAAAAAAAATTACAGAATCCAGTAAAATTATTAATTTGAAAGCCAAAGGCCTGCAACAGTTCAAGCAGAGCAGGCATGAATACATTTATAAAACTTCCATTTCAAATGTCTTAAATAAAAAGAACTAGAGAGTACATCTTTAATCACAGCACTTACCTTGACAAGATTTTCATGTTTTACCCTAGACATCATATTAACTTCACGAGCAAAACGACTCTCAAGTGCAGCTCTTTCTTCAGAAGTACTCCCACGATGGAGGACTTTGATAGCAACAATTCGATCACGGTACCTGGAAAATCATTAGACTAGACGTACATAACTAGTACACAGTACAGTAGACAACAGACAAACTACTCATAAACACTCCGTGCAATAACAAAATGGCACAGTTCATGCAATGGCAACCAACTAGTAACTCCCTCTAGTTTACAAACAAAAACAACTTATCAGCTAATAATAAAGATTCCTCCTCCTATTCATCCAAGTACAGGGTTGAAATGTGTTCCTCCAGAACCGTACAAGCATATCCTTACCAGAACAAATGTTACATGAAAATAATCCATACAGTATACAACGAATTAAAAATACATTCTTTACTTAATCACACCAGGCAAGCAAAGAGCAACTAAGTTGAGCATAAATAGTTGACTGACAAGGAATTGAGACTGACCTTCCTTCATAAACTTTCCCATGTGCTCCTTCCCCGATTTTCGACCCGATAAACAACAACTTCGGGTCAACCAGCAAGTTCTCATCGATCGTCAGCTGCTGCGGGACCAATATCGGTTCAACCTCCACCGACCTTCGCAAAACCGTTTGCTCATGCTTCCTCTCTCCTCTTCCTGCGTTGTTCACGCTGCAATTCATGCTGCAACTCTCAAATGATACCCGAATTCCTCATTTCAACCCCTTCCTTTCCACGATGCTTAATCACACAATTGACATTATCCCAATCCGATACTCCGGCTCTTCATCAAGCTTCAGTGAACATTTGCTTCAATTTCCATAGCAACCCTCAAACCACCATCACAGAAAAACCCAATTCCTATCAAGACTGAAGCTTTCTTATCCAGACTAAACATTCAGAGAAGATTCTTCTACTTCCACCAGCACTACTTCACGAATTTATATTATAAAAGGAAAGAAAAAAGTAAAATTGTTGGAAAGAAAAGGAGTCAATTTTCTGACCGATGGCAAGGCTTTTCTTTTTGTTTCCGAATATAAATTGCGAAAATGAACTCTCTTGTCAAACTTGTATGAGCAACTTTGCTTGAGCTGGAAGCCTCGTCGGCTTATAAAAGGAATTTACAGCCAAGGAAACCAGATAAACACAACACAAAAGCAACTTACAGTCGACGCTAAATTTTCCGGAGAAAATTCATCCAAGAAAAGAAATTTAATAATAATGAATAACAATAAAGCTAGAATCGCTGCCTTTAACGTCTAATTAAGCTCGGAGCTTCTTTTTCTTTTTCTTTTAAACTTCTACATAGAAAAAGGAAACCTAACCCTAGAAAGCACGAGCCTCTCTCTGTGCCTCTGAGCTCGCTTTCTTTCTCTCTCTAGAAATCGCGCTTTTTTCTCTCTCTACCCACTGAAGAGAAAACAGAGGCGCTCCGATGAAAGATAAAATTCCGAGAGTCTGTTCCGACGGAGGGTTTAAAGTTTAAAAGTTGAGAGCAAATTTTTCATTTTCTTTTTCTTCTAAAAGCAGAAAGTGATATGGCCAATGGAGAAGCGCCACGTGGATAGCACATAAACAAAGGTTTGCTCGTTGCGGTCGTGGCATCAGCCGATTTGGACGTTCTTGGTCTGAGAAATCGTATAGCGACAAAACGTATTCGGCTCGGCTCGGCTCGATTTTGGCTTTGGGTTGAAAGCCGGTCAGCTTTTTCTGCCTCGTGCTCATTGCTTGAGAGTTAGGAAGGAAGTTAGGAGTTAGGACAATCCTTTTTTTATCCATTGAATCTTTTAATTTCGTTATAATTATTAAATTAATGAATGAGGGAGACAATTTATTTATTTATTTAATTTTATTATAAAGTCAGTTTGAGTATTTGTGTATCTGATGTGGATGTTGATATTTCTCCAAATTTGCATGAACTCAAAAGTGTCCATTTTCGTTTTTAATGCCAATCTTTTCAGCTTGACAAGGAGGGGCGGCCACTACAAATTGCGATGTTTTTCTTTGCTTTGACACTCGAGTTTTTTTTTCTTCATATTTGTTAGGTAGAATTTACTTGTGCTTAGATGGGTTCATTAGTTTACTTTTTTTATTTATCAACGTTCATTAGTTTACTTATGTATTAGAATATTACATGGTGTAGGTTGACTTTACATTATGGTCTGCTCATGAAAAACTACGACCCGTTTTCATTCCTCCCACTTACAACAGTGTGTAGTTTATATATTTTTCAACGATTCGCCTTTGATATATAGAGTCTAACTCCGCAATTAGTGTAGTTTGAATTTGAAATTAATGATAGTCAATATGAAAGGTCTATTTATACCACAATTCAACTCCACCGACTACCTCCTAGAACATGTTTGTTATCTAAATTTTGTTTTAAATAGTTAGTTTTCTAGTAGACCTATGAGTAAATGTTAATTTATGTTTATTGGTGGTAAGGATTTTGAATATATATATATATATATATATATATATATATAAAGCAAAAGATAGAGAATGGTAAAACATTCAAAATACCAAAAAATATTTTTGGTTAATGCAAACATTAAAAATTGACATTATTAATTAAATGAGGAATTCACATTTTTTATATTTAAAAAATTAAAATTAAAAAAAAATCAAATAATGGATCCTATAAAAATAGAACACACTACCAATTATGTTTTTAAATTCTAAAATAAATTTTAATTTTTATAAAAAAATATTTTAAAAAATCTCTTGCAAGCGCGAAAACACGTACCGAGAGGCTAATAAATAAAGAAAGAAAGAAAAATCTTTGTCGCCACACTATAGCATGATGGGCATAGAACAACTTCGTACCACATCACCGTGATGGGTGCAAAACTTCTGTACCGGAGGACTTTTTCCATGTTTGTGACCAGAAGGGTTGAATTTCGAGCAGAGAAAATATGCATATGCCAAAATTCTAGTGGCTTGTATTGTATGTTGGATATACATTACGAAAATAGAAATATAGATATATATATATAAGAAAATGCCTTTTTCAATTAATTAATGACACGTGTGAGATAGACGTGGGTTCTGTGTGACATGGGTTGGGTTGGGGCAATGACTTGACTTGTTTGAGGATTGAGGTTGAGGGTGTGGAGAGTTTGGGGCCTTGGGACTAAGATGGGACCATTGTTTCTGATTTCAAATCTTTTTCATCAAAAAAGCCCACTGTCCCCTCCTTTTGATTTTTTTTACTTTGACGTGTCAGTCAGATGAGTACATATGTGGTCCCCACAGGTCCCATCGCCATCTGATTGGAACAAGTGTGTGGACATTCTGACATTCAGATTATTCGTGTGAGTAGAGTTAGGTTCATAATGCAGCCTCCTCGGTTTCCCTTCTTCTTTCACCTTTTTTTTTTGGTTACAAAAATGGATCTTAAAGACCATGATCACCGACGGATGGAGCACTATTTCATTTCACTCTTTCATGTTCAAATTATCAAATCAATGATGCATGTTATAAGGATCATGTATATGGATACAAACTTCAATCTTTTTATGGGACGGACTCAGAATTTTAAAATAAAATAAGTTATTTATCTTACGTGAAGGGTTTATATGCAAAACAATGTTATAAACAAACTCGAATGGGTTGTATTAAAGATTTTGAATTAGATTAAAAAAAACTCCATAGAGATTTTGGGCTTAAAAAATACTCTATAAGATAGACAATATTAATCATAACGAGGGACCGTACATGATATATCAATTTATAGATTTTTTTATAGTGTGACTATCAAGTTATTACGTGATATTTTTAATCTAATTATTATACTATGTGTATACCTACGTTTAGTAAATATCAACATTTTCATCCACTCAAGAATTAGTAACACCAAATAACAATATGACTTTTAGGGCACTTCCAACGAAAGGCCTTTTGCTCGGGCAGGACAGGGCCTAGCCCACATAGGGCCCACCAACCTGGGCAATCCCTCAGGCAAAACAGCTCGTGTTGCTGACTAGGCTAGTGATGTAATGATGATGTCAACATCCAATTTAAATAACAAAAAAAAAATACAAAAAATACAAAAAAAAATCAAAATTTTTATATATAAATACCTAGTCATATTCTTTACTTCTCACACCAAAACTCTATACAAATTCATCTTCTTATATCTCATGTGAAAGTGGTTGTCCTTGGGTTGCCACGGCAATGGGTGGAAACACAACAAACCTTTTGCAAGGACTGCTACTATTCACGTGAATAATAACAGTCATTGCCTCCAATGGCAGACCTATTAAAGCGCAAGGAGGTGCAGTTGCACATCTCCTCGCTAGAAAAATCATTGTGGGTGCTTCAAATTACCCATTTGCTCAGCTGGTGATAATGCACAGATTACCTTATTTCCATTTTCAACATTTAAGTAAATGTCTTTGTCATTTTAGGGTCAGTTTGGCATTGCTGTGCTGTAAAAATAATCGCTGTCAGATTTGCTGTGGGAGAAATCAGCTGTGAGAGAAAACAATTTGGCGTTTGGTAAAATTTTTATTAAAAGTGTTGTTGGTATTGATTTTACGCATAATCAAAAAATGATTCCCGCATAATCATTAAACCCAGCGCCTCTTCGAAACTAATTCCTGCATAATCAGAAAATGAAAGCACCTCATTAGCTGCTTTCCCTTATAGCTTTCTCTCACAGCAATTTTTAACAATAAGTGATTTTCTCACAGTTTACCAAACGGGTTGGGCTTCTCAAAATTTTTCAAAAATCACTTATCACCCCAAATAAGCAATGCCAAACTGGCACTTACTTTAATTTATTTTTATATTACTCCATTTACTTAGTTTTACAATATAAATAAGGAAGTACCCCCCATTTGGATTGAAATAAAAATACTAGAAAATCAAACTCCCACCAAATCAAAATATGAAAAATCGGTCTTGGTGTAAAATACGATTTATGCTAAAAATGATGGCTCATTAAGTCAATATATACTTCATAATAAAATCTCATAAAATCAAGTTTTCTTATTTGATGTGTAAGGAATAAAAGCAGCCAAAAATTATCTTGAGAAAATGATTATTGCGGAAAACCATTTTTCATACTTAGTCAATATTTTTACATAAAATAATTTTTCATATATCATATGATTGAATGAAGAGATGTAATGTCAATCTAGGCAGAAAGCCTTAGATATTCAATTCACAAAAAGTTTTTAGCCTTTCAAAATTGCACATCCACTAAAAAATTCATGCATCCGCCAGTGATTGCCTCCTCTTGCCCTTTGTCATGGCAAATAAATGGAAGTGCTCTTAAAGACCATTATCACCGAAGGATGGAGCATGAACATTCAAATTATCCAACGTGAATATTGAGAAATACCACGTGTAGAGCAAATAATGTTTAATAATATGGACGTGTGGCTCTTCCTGGGAATTTTTTGCCCTTTTTTGTGTTGTGTGTATATATGTTGTGGACGACATGTCGGCAGCACACCACTTTTGATATCAAGAGATAAAACCGTGACCGTTGTTTATTATGAACTAGTCAACATAAATACCAAACATATTGGCCCCACTTTCTTTTATCTTCTTGAAAAGAAAATATATATGTCCTTTTACAATTGAGTAGTTGCCATATGTACAGGGATAGCCATCCTACGTGCACAATCAATCATATTTTTGGACCCACCCGTGATTCATATGCCATACCACCCAC